CCGAGATTAAAAAAAAATTTCATAAAAATTTACCTAACAATTTTTTACGTATTCATAACAAAATACATTGTAAAAATCTTTTTTTATAAAATGATATTTTTCGATAACTTTTCAAACTTTTATGTCATCTACTCGGTTGAAATAATCTATGCATAAAAGATCCTAATAAGGATTACTTCAAAATGATCTCTGCGTAGGTAGGTACTGTGCTTTAATGTTTAAATAAAGGTTAGATAATAAAAAAACTGTCTTTACTTACAATTGCTATTAAACATTCTAATAATTTTTAAACTATATTATCAAAACATGACATTTTCAATTTAATAATATGTCCATGAGTCACGTAAAATAATTATACTACTTATATTAAGTATAGGTGTGTGTGATAAATCATGATGAAAATAACTAACAACCAATATTAAATCGGTAATCTTATCCGTAAATTCAAACTTTTTTCTCATTATTTTAATGCAAATATCAGATATATATTAGAATATAAGCAATTACATAAAGTCACTTGAACCCAAACTAAAAATGATATGTCGATATCAGGAAATATTTCATAACCACCGTAACTTACGTTTGAAATAAAGTTTTTACTGACGCTGTATACAAAAAACTTTAAAAGTCTAGATTTTATAGGCTGAAAGTCAGTATAAACATTTCATTGTGTTGGATAACTTTCTGTGTATATGTTATGTAGCGAATTCATTTTTATGAGATGTCGTATTCTTCGATTTTCGACAAATTGCATTATTTCGATTTAAAGTGATAAAAATATCATGCATAAACAAAATTATGAAGGTACGTTGAAAAGTTGTTATAACTCAAAAAAGTTCTAAGTCATAGTTTAAAATGGAAATGTGTACTTCATTGGGTTCATGTTTATGGTGTAAGCGCATAACGCTAGAGTTCAAATAGTTCATGAATATTGAATAAAAGCAATATATAAATATTATGTTTTTGTGTCACAATCTGTGTTAGGTTTACATATAATAAAACAATTATGCAAAAAGATACAGATTTAAAAAAACTGTTCCATACGAATAAACAGATAAAGATAAATAGATATAATCATGATTTTATCCAGACAATAAAATAGATAAATGATTATTTTTTATTAAATCCTTTGATCATTTTCCTTGATAAAGACTGCTGCATAAGTGCAGTTTTTTTGCCTCTGCGGCACCTCAATACGGCATAAGTAAAATGTGATCAAATTGTGCAGTGCACAATATATCTTTCGGTACCGTTACGTCGTAGCATGCATTTTTTATATTCAACCACTTGCACTATCCGAAGCGTCAAAAAGCAGACTAGTTCATCGGGCTCAAGTTCTATACGTAACAATATGTGAGTAGGTAGTGAAAAGATTTTTCTGATGTTGTTTCCAATTAGGCTAAGCGTTTCAAAGGGGTTGTCAGGTATTCCTAAGCTTTTTGAGTTTTTATATGGTGTCCACATTAAATCATTTAATTCATTGTGTACTTATTAGATATTATTGAAAACCAGATAATTCTAAATAAATATACTATTCTATATTTATATTCTTATTTGTCATAAAGACAGATTATTATTGTTATCTAGATGATATCCTTAATAAATTGGGGAAACAAAAATCGAATTTAGATTTTCAAATAGCATAGTAGGTATATTTTTATTTGTCAATATTTTGATAGTCTGAAACAGAAAAATATATTTTTAAGTTTTTAAAAAACTGTTGATGCAGTAACAACTAAGTATCGATCAGGAGGTACTGAAGTAATTTTGGATCCAAGGGGGGGGGGGAGCATAACATTTTTTTTAGAATTTTAGTTTGGAAGATTATAGAACGCTTACTACATATTTCTTGGACAAACAAATTGGGAATTCATTAAGAAAAATACTTAATCATAAATGATCGTAAATCGAATTGGTCCTACAATACATTTTCCATAAATTAATCTTTCAAAAAATGTGAATGTTTTTGTATCAGTGAGAATTGTTGGGTCTGATACAATGTGTACAATATATTTTTGACATAATGAAATAATATTGTACAATGATTAATTTATTTATGCAGTTCCTGGTTCCCACCAGTCCACGAAATCGGTACAGTATCGACGATACTTTACGAAACATTTTATCATTAACTAGTATACTGTATACATTTTCAACTTTCGACTTAATTCAGTCAAACTTGTGTTACAAAATATTTGTTTTTGAGTGAAAAAACTTGGGCATTCAGTAAAAGAATCGTCCTCATAAGCTGTTTATATCCCGGCTGAAAAAATATCAAAAATACAAAGTCACAATCTTTATTAAATATACCTAAGTAAAAATAAAATGAAATTTTCATCATATTTCATTTAGTCGTTAAGTTTACGCTATTTTATTAACTCGAGTTTTTATTATTATTTTTTTTTATAGGTCCTCGGACGGAATACGTATAAGCTCAATGGGCTTGACTTTCACCGAAGACTAACCCCCATTATGGTCATTACGGGAATCGCATGTGCACCAAATAACTTCAAATTCCATTTCAACTTCAAATAGTAGTAGTAGCCACTAGCCAGTCAAAAACCATAGGTGAACTGCAATAAAAGTTAATGATGGGTAAAAGGTCTTATATAAGAACACTTGAATTAAACTGTTTTTAACAAACGTTAAGGTATTTTCTGACCATGTTCGGTGAATTAGATAGACCGTGAGAACTGTTGGATCCACCTTGAATGATAAAATAAATTGCCCCAAAACCAATTAGGAGTTTATGTGAATAAAGGAGCCAACTTTAAAATATCTATATGTTTTGTACTTCATTATACGACACTGTGTTCGCATAAAAAAAAAATATATATATACGGTATGATTCTATAAGTTTATATTCTTATATACGGAACATATGAGTAATAGCTGTTAATTCTAAGTTTAGGGGTAAAATTACAAGAATTGAAAAAAAAAACTTTAGTTCAAACATCTCTTTCGCAGTAAATTATGGAGCTTTACATTTATTTTTGAACGATGTTGGGATAAAAGCCAAAGTACATTTTATGCTGTTGAGATAAGAAAACTTTGAGTTCATGAGTCTTTAAAAAGTTACAAAAATAGTTAATGCAACGCCAATCTTAAGCAAATTTGAAGTCTCTATCAAATCCAGAAAATTTATTTTCACATTTGTTTGATAAACTTTGTCCAACACAAGTATAAAATCTTTTCAAGCAAAATAAAATGTATATATATTAAATCGAATAAATATCATATCTGCAGAACCCAACATTTGTGTTTTTAAGACACAATGAAAATGTATTATAACAACCAAACGTAAGCAAAAACAAAAAAAAAAATTAGTAAAGTAGAATAACAACATTTTTAAGTAACCTATATCGCGATACATACTCGTAAGTAGTAGATAGTAGGTAAATTATATAATACATATATTAGGGAATCGACTTACTGTATGATATCACCAAATTATAGAATGCGGTATTGGGAAAAAATTCCAACGATTAAAACTCTAAAACTTATACATACATCAACAATTATTTAAAATTATAAATATTTTCAAGCATTGAATTTTACAACACTAATAAAGGACTACAATTTTTGATTTTAAAACATATACAATTTGACTTCGAAAATATGGGTTGGTGAATAAACATAATTATGAAATAGTAAGACGTATAGTACTATAGTCCATAAATCATAATCAAAAATGCAATCATTATCCGTGTTTAATTTTACTTAGCTTTTTATAAAACATAAGTAGGTATAAAATATGATTATTATTATTACTATAAAGACGCGCCATATTATTATATAAAGCACATATATTGACGAATTCGATGAATGTATAGTATCATATTATGTTTATTAAAATTATCTATGTACTTTAAACATTATAGATGGTAATACTTTTTTTTGTTTATTATTATTATTTTTGTAGCATCGGAAATTATATCCAGTAGAATTCAGTGATTAGTTACGATTGGTTCAGAACAACACGTTTGTATGTTGGGCGAGGATTTATTCTTAAAAACATGGGCGGTCAATGGTCATCCATCCTGGGGAGCTAATGACACCAGACGATACTTGACCACACCACATATTAGTGACTGCTGCCGACCAGTGTGTCATAAAAGGCCTCAGGTGGTGATATTATAATATTTTTAAATTTTTAAACATTAAAAGTCGGTTAGTCATATTAATAAATTATACGAGCTTTATATGTGGTTTTCGTTGCCCGATAATGACATGACATAGTAAAATGGTATCGATTTAGATCGGAAAGTAAAATGTTTGTCCAAGGCCGTAGCTAGAAATTTCATCAAGGAGGGGAAAACCTAGTGTATTAAACATTAATATATTTGTTAGCTATGATCGGGGGTGATCAATGTCCCCTAGCCCCGCCTTCGTTCTTGCTTGTGTCTATAATTGTTTAATATTTAATGTGTCATTGGCGCAGTGAGCTAACGACATATTATTACGCATAAGTAGGGATATCTTGTGTCTGGGAGATGATTAGGTTGGGTTAGAAGGTGCGAATTGTACGAGACTCGAATTTTCTCTTTTAGAATTTGCAGAAAAAAATTGTCGACCGACCTTGGTTTTCGTGCACCGTGAATCATTGCTAGAACACCCGGTACAGTTAATATAATAGTTTATAATAAACACAACGCATCTAACCTGCGCAAAGCGTTTTGTCTAACGAAAAACAAATACAATATATTACAACATAATAATATTACACATAAATGGGCCGCGACGAAAAAACAAACCATGCCAAACGATAATAATTTACACCGTGTACACACCGCGTTAGATCACCCTGGATTAAAATCCGGACTCGAGACTATTTTATTATTATAATAAAGAGCATTTAAAAATTCCCTCGTACAGGAGTTAAAAGGTTTTTATTGCGAGTGTATTATAATAACGACAACGTCGACGGCGATAATACTCTCTGGTACAAATCTAAATGTTTTTTATATACGGTAATATTATAAAGGGCGATTCACCTGCAAGTACCTTTAGAGTACTTTTACTCGACCTCGTTTTTCACTCAATAACTCATTTTCCTCTCAATTTTCTTAATTTTTTAGTAGAGATTGGTATTTTTTTAAATTTTTGGTTGCCATTATTGGTTGATCGGACAGGTCAGGTTTAAAAATGCATCAAATCGAATTTCAGTACATTACCTACCAAGGTAGCTGTCAGCTGAATTACACTTATAGCCGCTCATCGACATGTACACAATCAAAATAATTAATAAAATTAAAATTAAACATATCATTCATATAGAGTGTGTACCTAGCGAGGTCCGGAATCCACCATAGGTGGATAGCCAACTTGATAATTCACTACTCACGTTATCACAACCACAAGCGAGTCTCATATAGAGCTAGCATTTTTAAAGGTCAAAGAAGTACATATTATGTAAGGTAAGTAGTATTTAATAAATACACTTTGTTTACATTTAATAAACATTAATAGCCATGAGGTGTATCCAGCGATAAACATATAATACAATATTTGAGATAATTCTTTAGTTCACATTTTCACAAGTTATAATTAGGTATTCAAGTAAATCATCAATTAGATATTTTTAGTCTTGGTCATATAATCAAAATTTTTTTTTTTAAATTTTAAATCAATGCATTTATAATAATATTTATTAGAGCCCCTAATATTTTTCTCTCCGATGCAAAATCAACAAAACATCATTACGATATATTTGACTAGTATAAATTATTTTTGTCTCTCGAAGATTATTTTGACGAGTTGATTACTAATTACTAGCTATACCTCAAAGCATCTACGTGCATATAGTGTTCTGTACATCACCAATATAAATCGTTATATCGTTGTCGCACTTAAATCATATAATATAATATGTCTACGATGGCTTCTAACGACAAATCCGTTTTGCTGCAGTTGACGGAAGGGGAAAAAATGCAAATGAAATTTGAAGAGTTGAGGTCGGCCAAGTTCCACATTCCGACTATATTTTCAAAATGGGTTGAAACATGGCCGGCGTTGAAAAGACACGCGTCTACGCCGAACGTGGGCACGAATTGTCGTCAATCAGCCGCAGCAGGAGACTCCGAAAACTATCAGCATTTGTCCACCCCGGCCGTGCAACCCTGCAATCCTCGTGAGCTGTCCAACGTGCTGCAACAGAACGGGCCATCATCCAGTCCACTGGACCACGAGGTGTCTGTTGTGAAGTACGTGGGATACAACACGTCGCTGTAGGAGAACGGGGCTGTGGATTCGATGGATAAGCAGAACAGAATTGACACCTCATCGTGTACGTCCGTGCAGCCGGCGACGGAACTTCCACCAGCCTCACTTAAAGTCCTGGAGCTCAACGAATTTTCAGGAGGCTGTTCAGGGCGGGGTCGATGGTCCTCAGCGTCCAATATACATGTAAGTATCAAACTGGTGGACACCCCGGAACCGGCACCTCGAGGGAAATGCAGTGATGCCTTTGGTCAGAAGTTGGTCGGCGACCCCGTCCATCCTAAACGGCGTCGCACGATGTGGAGCCGGACGAAGAGATTCATCCACCGTATGTTTTGCTGCGCTCTTTTGGATGACCGCAACCTTTTTGTTGCTGTATGTACTTAATATAAGCGTAATTTATTTAGGTTCAACTTCAAGTGATCCCATAATCATAATGAGAGATCAATTGAAGGTTAAACCTTAGGGAATCACGCTTACATTACTACCAAAGTTATAAGACAACTTTTTGTTCATGCAGTTGATTTATATAAGTAAACTTGCTTTGTTACTTTGCTACTTATCTAAGTGGTTTTTAATTGAAATAGTATTATAATAATATAATCAAACGCATCAACACCCTAGTACCTGCAAATACTTTTACTCAACCTCTTTCTTATCTTTACTAATGAATGTATTCGAATTCTGATTTTTGGAATATTCAAATACTCTCAAACATGATTATGATATTATTTCATTCAAATGTTTAAACTTTAAACTAAGGATAATATTATAGCCCTTAAAAATGGTTTTACAAAAATATAAACTATATGTAATATTGCAGGTTCTAGTATTTATTATACTTGGACTATTTTACAAATTATTGATGTTGATAGATTAACATTTATCACTAAAATGTCCAAATCACCACAACCCACATATGTTTCGAATCCATTATAACCATTTACACAAAGTTAAATAACTCAACAACTAATCGTCGGAGTTTTGATTTTGATACATCAACTAAAAATTATCTATTAAATAACTTACAGTAGAAAAGGGATGCTCTGATTTGAAAAACAGAATTGTGTATCTTCGCAGGGCACTGCTCAATAGTGATACAAACTTTTTCAATTATCTAGAAATGTGGTCCATTAGAAGATTCAAAAAATCCAAAAATATATTTTGAATAATTGTAAAATGAGATGGGCGAATGCCCGTGTATATTATTTTATTATTCGCCGCCGCCGATAGCTATAACATGATAGTATATTGTTATAGTGTTGTCTTATGAGCTGTGATTTACAGTCGTCGCCGTTGTTCTGGATTCTTTAGGGTTTCCGTTTTTTACAGTCACCGTCCAAATAGAATATCCTGAGACTGCGATGTGCACTACGCCAGTGTATACAAACGAGAGTAGGTCACTGCTGCCCATACAGTATAATAAGCATAATAACATATAACATGATATACACATCGCACATCGTATAATATAATATATTATTATGACTCGCTTACACAGTTCGCGCGCACCTCTCGCATTTGGTAGGCATTTTTTTTTTTTTACGACGTCGTTAAACTTCAAGTATTTGTCACAGTACAATAATAATGTATGCCGGTGCGCGCGCGGGGATATACGAGAAGCAACCGTGTGCACCGTAGGTATAGGTACTGCGCTTTTCATTTTGACGAGACCCTTATTGCTGGTATAAGGACACTCCGGACGGTAAAAACGAGCTCGACGCAAATTGTGTTTTCGCACACACGGGCCACTTGGTTATTCGAGTCGACTCGTGCAGTGTCTTAACCTTTAACCCTTTATCGTATAATATATTACGACGTGTGTTACTACCCGTGCAATGCGCGGTAGGTACCGGCGACAAAGTGACGGAAAACCCGCGAGTCTTGAGCGTGTGGCCCGTGCACAGCGTGTGAAAAATATAATAATAATAATGATAATACTACTCTATACTTACCTGAAATTCAGTGTTGTGCACAGGTGGCTTTAAAATTATCTAGGTAAGATAACAGATGTAATTGAATAAAAAAATGATCTAGATAAAATATAATATAACCATCTTTTTAAATAGATAGAAAACAGATAACTATATAGTTTTTGGGTTTTTAAAGCCTTTATAAATTAAAAATTATTATGGAGGAAGTGCGATCACTGGATGGTTTCTTTCAACTCCTCTTTTAGTGTATTAATTGCTTGTAGCACTTATTTTTATTGTGCCCTCGGACATAGATTGTATATTACTATTCTTTATAAAACAAAAAATTATGATAAACACACATATTTATAAGTTATTTTATTATTTATGAGTTATATACCTATTAAAACACAATATAGATTGAGTAAATACATTTGAATGAAAAAAAAGTACCGTTTAATAAATATTAATATATTAAACATTCAAATAATTTGTATTATAAACTGTCCAGATCTTGCTAATTCCGAGGGGACCTAATGTTGGTAATACCTCCAGACAAATCGCCCAAAAGTGCTGGAAACTAGTCATAACAAGAGCTTGCAGCATCACCAATGATATAAATGGATGCCTTATAATATGGCAACCCAGACAAATTCCGCAGGCGGTGCACTTGAGATAGGGTTGCCGCCCATCGCATTCCACAGAATTGAACTTTTCGACGTCCACAGATTCTTCTTAATCTGCAAAAAGAAATGTTACCAGCTACCTTAGAGGTATTGAGACGCTGTCATCCGTCTCGTCGTCTTTACCACCAGGTCGGCCGGTCGAAGCTGACGCGCTGCAGTTAAGTTCGGTAAACTGCAATATGGCAGTAGTGCAGCTTGGTCATGCCGGTTCTAAAAGCGGCTCGACAAAACCACATTACCACGAGACAGCCAATTCTCAGGATATGAAATTCCCGGGCAGTCGCGGTGATACAGGATCGGACCCGACAGGAACCGTGCACACTGTCTGGCCGGACAAATGATCCAGCCTTCGAATGTTTTGTTGCGGTTCTATTGACATGTGCCTTAATATGTATAGAGCTTATAGCTTATGACGAGTGTTTGGTTACCGGCAATTGAACGTCACTTCTGGCTTTGAAAGTTCGCTGAGTTTGACCCACCCCTCGCTGTTATCACGATTGTGTCGTACTCCACGCTAGACGTGTTCGTCTGCACTTTTATATCTGAATGGAAACCCGTTGTGTTCGCCGAACACTCCGTTTGACTTAATTTTACTACCGTAAGCAATATTTTAATCTGTAATATTATATTATTGAATGAATCAAGTATTTATGGTAGGTAAATATACTATATACTTGTATTATAAAAATAATATATAAAATGAAAAAAATGTGTTTTTTATAATATTTATTATTTTTGAATATTTTTTTATCTCAATTTGATTAACAATAATAATAATCTATATATATTAATAATGTTTTCCTAGTTTAGAGATTTAAAATAAAGTGATAAATTCTTCAATATCTGCTTTACTTAATTATTATTCCTGATTCAATTTTCAATAATATAATACTCAAAATATAACTCAAATATATTTCTTAAAATAATTTAATAAAATAATTTACTTTAAATATTTTTGTAATTATTTATATTATTTTCCGACTAATTGACGAGAACAATTTAATTTTTAACCTTTAATTATTGTTTTCAAAGTTTAAGAAGCTTATAATAATAATTAAAATATATAATAAAATAAACTTATTTTTTTTTTTTTTTTGATATAAATACACACTAATAATATGCTCAATATAAATTTATCACCTTCTAAATGGACTAAAAAAAATTTAATTGAATGATGTAATATTATTGTATACTAATAAAAATTCTGAGCGAAAACGGTTTGTTAGCCAAGGATATTTTATATTTTATTTATATTCTTATTATTAATACTGCAGTTGGTAAGTTAAATTAATATTATTTGAATATCATTTGCATACTTTCATATTTGTATACAATAACATACTTTAGTTGTTCCAAGTATCCAAAAATAATATTTTTAAATTACAACAAAAAACTAAATTCAATATTATAATAAGCCGGAATGAGTAACTGACAACGAATAATCAAAGACGTTATGACAGCAATCAAGTTAAACCAGACAACGATATCGGTGAGTTGCTGTCTATTTCGGTACTGTAGCATAATTATCCGAAGCTTGTGCTGCATTAAGGACACTTGAAAAATTATATTTAGCAAACTATGGAGGTAGGTACAAAAGGAAAGCGTTGTTTTTATTAGAAACTTCGACTAATAGGTACTTAATATTCCGCGGAGCAAAGATGATTTCAAAATATTAAATTCAATTGTATTCAAATATTATATTGAATTATATTTAAATTTTAAGTAACGTATAGTATGTTGTATATTCATAAATACAGTATTAATCTAGATTATAAGTAAAATAAAATTGTCCATATTTTTATTTTTCCTACTTCTAATTGTTTACCATGAACGCTGGTAACGTTGTACTTGCAACCAGTTACAAAGAGAAAAACTTGATGGCCCCTGAAACTTTTTGTTATAGATTCCGACTGTATTTCCCAAAACGTTAATACTTTTCTAGATTATATGACGTTTATTTTTAACAGAATCCCTATGTGTCTAAACAGCGGCAAACACGATATTATCACCATTTTAATTTATATAATATTTCTTGACATCGCCAGTAAACCAAATACCTTAAAAAATCAAAATGAGTAAAAAATTAATATCATATTACTGTAGTATATTACAGATGACATTTTGAAAAATAATTTCAATAATATCATGTGGAACTTTAAACGATTCGATAAAAAAAAAAAAAATAATAATAATGATTATGTTATGTATTCGTATTGTATTTTATATTTTTATCTCTTGTAGATTTCTACAGCAATTTAAAATATGATTATATCTCGGTTTTAGATATAAACTTTAAAAGGTTGCAATTTTTTTTTTCAATTACCATGTAGGTTTTGTATTGTTTTAAAGAAATTATAGATACTTATCATACAACTACATTTTTTTAATTATTATAATTTGTTTCGCAAACATGTTTTGGG